AGCCAATGCCAGATCATGCACTACATCGTGCATCTTGCAAGATATGATATCTCCATATTTATTCCTTCTCACATCTTGAAATAAGGAATTAGATAACAAATAGTTAAAGTAAGCATCACCAATTTCTTCCATTCTCCTGGAGCTTTCATTAGGCTGGTGAAGAAATCCCTGAGCCATCCAAAGCTGAACTAAATCATCCTTTTCAATGAGGAAATCCTTTGGAAATATTGAACAATAAGAGAAGCATTTTTTCAAAGGTGGAAGCAAATGATCAAAACTGATTTTCAGTATCGATAAAATCCATTTTCCATCTTCTGAATCCAAATTCCATGCATCATTATCTCTGATAGTCTCCCAGGCACTTTTTTGAATTTCAGAGCTCAATGTTCCACTGATGACAGCTGCTATCAATGGCAAGCCCCCACACTTTTTGGCAATATCCACCCCAATATCTTTCAAATTAGGAGAAATTGATTCTAGTCCCGATAGTTCGAGAACCCTCTTTTCAATTATTGACCAGCACTCCTCATCTGATAACTTCTGCATTTTATAAATTTGCATAGAATTTCGCATAAGATTCATTTTCCTCATCTCAAGTGCTACCTCTTCATCACGAGTTGTCACCATAATGGAATTCCTCATTGTCCTCAAAATTCCGGAGAGACGACTGTTGAAAGCAATCCACTTGGATTTATCTTTGTTCCACACGTCATCAAGAATGAGAAGAAAAGTTTTCTTCTCTAATTTTTTTGCAAGATCTTCAACCAGTACATTGATGCTGCTTGGGACTACACCAACCTTCAAATGTTCATACATCTCTCTCACAATTGTTTGCTCATTGAAGTCTTCAGAGACACACACCCAGACTACTAGATCATAGCATTCCTTGGCCATTTCGTATATTGATCTTGCTACTGTTGTCTTTCCAAGGCCCCCCATGCCAACTATTGAAACACCAGAAATTGGATGTTTATTCCTCAAGTTATCCAACATGCTAAGAATTTCCGAAATATCATATCTCCTTCCAAAAACTTCTGAACAATCAAGAAGGGAGTCTGTCGGTGTAAATTGCCTAGCAATTGGATGACATTGTTGGCATGCCTTCAGATTTAGCAGAGAAACGCGCTCTTTTAATCTATCAAAGCGCGCATTGATAGCCTTTATTCTGTCACCTATATCAGAACCAAGGGTGAAACTAGGGGCACTGCTTTTCTTTCTCTTCTCTCCTTTCTTCTTCCCCCCTCGAGGCTTAAGCTGGTACTGAAGATGCTCATAATCACACTCATCAAGTACATCCTCAGCATCATAAGCCACCTTTTGGAGATCTTGTAGCCAGAGCCTTACAGGGTCATCACTTTCTCTTCCCTGTTTTCCCTCTGCATCTTTAAGTACAGAGTGGATCATCTTGAGTGAATCTTCAAGTTTCGCCAGCTCCGTTACGGGATCAAAACGCGAACTTGAACTCGAAGCTGTCCACCTTCCATAAGCACGCGAAATCAATTTGGAAATCAACGTCTCTATAGTAGGAGCGAGAACAAGGCTGGTAACAAACTCAAGTATCATGCTTGCACACAGTAGAGAAAGATCGTGCTGAGACAGAGGAAAAAACAGAATAGTGTTGTGAGAGCCGAGATGAGGAAATGAATTGTAGATGAAGATCCTACACAAATTTCATTTGAGAACTTGCAGAAAAACCTATTATCAAATTATACTTTATTTTTGTGTGTGATGTTCTTCAAATAATACATGTTACTAATTTTTATTTTTTTAAACTGGTACAAATTTGATAAAGGGAGAATTTAAATTTAATACCTAAGGTTCGGGTATATCTAGTACTTAAAATTGAGGTATATATATTTTTTTAAAGATTTGTAGTTATTCATTTGAGAACTTGCAGAAAAACCTATTATCAAATTATACTTTATTTTTTTGTGTGATGTTCCTCAAATAATACATGTTACTAATTTTTTATTTTTTTTAAACTGGTACAAATTTGATAAAGGGAGAATTTAAATTTAATACCTAAGGCTCGGGAATATCTAGTACTTAAAATTGAGGTATATTTTTTTAAGATTTATAGTTAATTGGCCTCTAATATTAGTGCAGTACATGTTACTAATTGATTGAGTAGATAAAAAGAAGATCATATAATTAAATAGACTAGTTTGGTTTGAGATAAAACAACAGAGAAGCTTGTAAAATCTGGTGGAATTTTTATACTTACTTTATTGCTTCTGAAAACTGTATATATACAAGTAGTAGGATACAGAGATTGCACTGAAAGAAGAGGAAATCAAGAAAAATCAACGAAGCAAAACAGAAAAACAGAAGAAGTTACAACAAGAAGAAGTCAAACTGAATTTGACATAAACTGTAAATATTCTCTGTAACTAAACTCGTAAGAAAGCTAGCTGGATCTTTAAAAGCATAAAGAAATCAGTGGAACGTGAAATAAAGCCAAGAAATGAGTCCTTACCAGATTTCAAATGCTTAGCCGCACGGAAAGATAGCAAAACCAAAGAGAATTAGGAATTCAGGAAGAGAACACCATGTAGAGTCAGCGGAGATACTAAGCAAGTCGTGACGCAAAATAAGTCTACAACTAAAAAAAGTAATAAAAATAGATGAAATTGTAATTTATGGGTAGGGTTTGATTTAGTTTTGGATTTATTACACTAAAAGTTTAATCAAACTAATTTAAAATGATTTGAATTTTGGTTGTTGAGTTTACAAATTAAAAAATCGATAACTAGAGTGAGTGTAATTAAAAAATTTTATCCAAAAAGTTTTTATAGAAATTTTTTAATGGTCTTTAAATTTTTTTTAAGGTTTTATCTTTTTTTTACTAAATTATTTATTTAATTAAGAAATTTTTAATTTTTTAATGAAAAAATTAATAAATAATAATTAAAAATTTATTAAAAATATAAAAATAATTTTTTATTTAAAATTAAAATCAATCTAAACAATTACTATTAAAAGTACAATTAAAACCAAAAAAACTTGTTCTTTTATTTGATTAATGGTTATAAAATCTAAAATTTTAATTAATGATAATTTGATTTTAATTATACGAACCATCCCCACCCCTAAGTATAAGTTAAAATGTACATTCCTCGGACATTTTTTTTCCTATCAATTTTATTTAAACTTGTACTGTACAGAGTTGCAAATGTTGCACTTTAACTGTTATTTTCTCCACCCCCATTCAGTGGAGCATTAGTGACCTTGACTTCGTCCTTGTGTCTCTGTGTAATGCCCTAGCCCCTTTCGGGGGGTCAATGGTGGGAAGTTTCCGTCATATTTCCACTTGAATTATTCTGTCCATTCAACTTCTTTATAAGAAAATCTCAGCATTTTGCATTGACTGCCTTCTTTGAGCCACTATTCATTGAAGACTCAATGATTAGAGAACTGTAGCAAATTGCAAAAATAAAGCAGGCTTGGGCCGGGCCTGGGCTGTTTACTAAAAGGGGTTGAAAGGCCTTTGACTTGATGGCTCTCTTCTCCCTTTTTCTTCATCTTCTTTTGACTTAAGACTAAAGTACTCTAACTTCCATATTTACACCGTCCAGCCTCTCTCGAAGTTATGAGTCCTCATTTTTTACCATAAACTCATAACGGTTATGGATCACTCCCAATCCATCTAAATTTAATTCGCCAACTACGGTTGCCCAACCTGACCCAACTTGTTTGCCTGGTCCAGCCCATGGCACATTGTTAAATTGACGAAGATGGCCCTGCTCTCTACTTTCAGGGCATGTTTGGTTACGAATACTCCAAAAGCAATTTTTAAGGAAGCTGCATGAAAAAACAGCTCGATTTGAGTTTTGAAATTTAATTTTTGAGCACAAAAATAATAAAAACAAGTAGTTGATCATATTTGTTAGGTTTTTTAATTTGTGTCCTAAAAACATAGAGTGTATTAATTATATATATTTTTAATAATTGTTATGAAAAAAAAGTAAAAATTCATTTTAATTTTATCTTTTTAATAATTGTTATAAAAAAAAAGTAAAATATCATTTTAATTTTATCAATCACCTAACTAAAATTGTACATATATCATTGTTGTTAAAAATAAAATTAGTTTTTAAAAGCAAGATAATCAACTAAAATAAAAGCAATTGCTTTTGATCAAGAAATTTTTCAAGATTTTTTATTATCCAAAATATTCACTTTTATTTCTTTTGTTAGCAAATTACTTCTTAACTCCACTCGTCTGCCTACAAATTTATTTTTAAGAATAATGTTGTATTTAAGACTATTATAAAGTATTATACTAGTAGGTTTATTAATATTTTAAGAGAAAAGTGTATTTCAGTTTTAATTCTAAAAAATAATTAAAATATCAATCTTAAATTATATTGTTTTATTTAATTAAAATT